ACAACATTTATTCAACGTTTCTGTTGTGAAAACTTCCATATTTACACAAGATATCTGCCAATTAACAAACAAATCAATGTAATAAATGTAAAATCACTTGAATTTCACAGTTTAATCTTTTAAATAATCAGAAAATATCTGCGATTAAAAAACAGACTTGCAAATGTATTTTAACCTTTTTGTAGTTGTATTGATGTCTCTATGTATTTAAAAAATACAGAAATACAATACAGTGTTCTCCTCAGAACAGCAGCTAACAGCTGTATCTGCAGCTCAGAGCCTGTCTCTGACTTTTATTTGACTTTTAAAGAGAAGTACGAGTTGTTGCTGCCTGTGGCTGGAAAACAGAGCCCTGTTTCAGTTGTGTTGTGTTGATGCGATTAGCCAACGCAGCCCAAAAAGGTTGTAGGTTGCTTTCAAAAAGCTCGTCTGAGTAAGTGACGGTTGAATGAGTGCAGCTCATGTTATTATCATGCTGCGCTTTAGTGCAGGCGGCGAACAGACAGCACAGAGCCAGTCTGACTGGCCTTTCATCAGATAACACTCAACCACACACTCACACTGACATCCACGTGTGAAGACAAATTGTAATCTGATCCAACAGAAGCTGCAGAAGGCGCCCTGTGGTGCACATTGCAGAGCAAACCAGGTCAAAGTTTGAATATGTGTGACACAGCTGCTTCTACTGTTCCCAGCATGCACTGAGGGAGGACAGATTCGCTGAAAGAGGAGGAAATCAGCTGATCGTCTCCACTCAAATGCATTTTCCACAGAACAGTCACAAGGTTTGAAAAACAAGTTCTGACATTCAGGCTGGATTAGGTCTGTTTAAGTCCCAGTGTCACTGAATCAGAATCTCTGGAATGATTAAAACTGTTGGATGAGAGGACATTACTTTAAAAATATATATATTAAAGTCATACTGATGCAAATAAAAGGCTCATTACCGTAAAACTCAACTTATAATCAAGTGATGACTAATGAAAACAGACCTGTGGATATTATATCCTCCTGAATGTTACACACTGGACCTCTCTGTTAGAGGCTCTGGTAGTAAGTCGGGCTCCGGCCCTACTGGGTCTGGGTCTGGCCCCAAGCTACATATCAGAACTGTTGACCCCTTATGAGCCTATGGGGCCCTTCTGGCTGTTCTAAAGTCGAGGCTTAAATCTAAAGGGGACTTTTTCCATCAGGACCCCTCGGCTGTGGAACGACCTGCCTGACGAGTTAAGGTTTGCAGAATCAGTGACTTCTTTAAAATCACCTCCTAAAATCCATTTCTACAGACTTGCCTTTATGTGATGTTGTCTTTGTACTTAATATTCTATTTTATTTCTTTATTTCTTTATTTTCGTAGAAGAAATAGAAATAAATAAATGTACTGAAAATTAACTTTGCATGGTTTGACATTTCATTATTTTTACACTTTAATAGATTTTAAGTATCACAGCTATCATGTTGCTTTGTTTGTTGAAAGCATTTAGTAAAGTCTGTTTTTATAGGTGTTATATAAATAAAGTTATAAATAAATAAATAAATAAATTATTATTATTATTATTATTATTATTATTGTTATTATTATTATTCATAAACACAGAAAGCCTCTGAGTGCAGAGTAGAACAGTGGTTCCCAACCTGAAGGTCAGGACCTCCACTAGGGGTCGCCAGAGCTTCACAGGGGGGTCTTGAGGCCTTCTTGATTTTAAGAGGGGTGAGAAATAATATACACAGTAGGCTAAGCCTTGATCTCAGCATTTTGTTCATTTCTGTGGTGAAAAAAAAACTAAATTAAATTGTTATTTTTAAAATTATTATTAAAGATGTCTATATGTATATAAACAGTATATAT